CTCTCTCTCTCTCTCTCTCTCTCTCTCTCTCTCTCACACACACACACACACACACACACACACTCACTCCCCTGCAGGTGGGTAATCTCAGTGTTATCCAGATGCTCTGTGCACATGTGAACATACACACAAACAATTGAACCTAAGAATGACTGGACATTACTGAAGTCACAGTGTTAATCAACCCAATGAACCAGGGTTTCAACCCAGACCTGAAACTCACTCTGGCTAGCTGGCCACCTCATCAGACTAGTAACCCTTTACTTGTCACTCCAAGCAGCAGTAACAGAGGTTGCCTCTGGAACAGAGGGCTCACAATGTGGAGAATATGTGTGCTTAAGAATGAGGGAAAATGAGAATTTCTGCAGGAAGACGGCTATCTTAGCTCTACTGAGCTTTGGGAGTTTTTCATTATGTGGAAGGTTTGATCCATTGAAAACTAGGTGTGATTTGTGGGTTCTAGGTGTGCTGGGCACATATGAGAAGGGGTTTGGCAGAATTTAATCCACAGCTTCCAGGCAGCTGATGACTCCAGAGCTGGAGATGTCCAGCAGCTCTTGTCTGTCTGGCTTCAGGTGTGATCATTGCCTGGGTCCCCCTTTGTCTCCCCCTAATTTATCACTTACCCACTGCACAGGGCACTACCAGAGACTGACTTAGAACAGTTGCTTTTCTACGTAGCATGATCCTGTAGGCTGGCTGACCTAAGCTGGCTGGTTTCTGCTTCAGTCTTCTGAGACTGAAGTTGTCTAGGGGTCCAGCTGGGCCAGGCTGTGCAATGGCATACTCACACAGGTGGCAGCTGGTGCCAGGTCATCACAGGGATCAATCTGAAGCCTCAGCAGGCACCCTTGGTTCTCCTCCACATGGCCTTTCCCTGTAGCCAGTGCTCCCAGCATGGCAGCCAGGTTTGAAGAGAAAGGAAGACCCAATTGCCAGTTCTTCTAAGGCATAGGTACAGAAGAGAATCAGTTCTTTGCCCAAAGTAGTTGGGCAAAGCTTCCTTCTCTATTCTTTCCAACATCTACTGGAATGGATGTTTCTGAAGCCTACAGCTGATTCTCTCACAACATACATAATCTTTCAAAAACTATCCATGGATAGACCCCAGGGGCAACTTAGATGGGAACACTTCGCTTCATGGTTGGTCCTGTTAATTTACCTATGCTTCTCTTCAGTCATCCCCAGTGCATTGGAGATTCATTCAAGAAACGAATGTCTTTAGAGGCTCTACAGCACCATGACTGCACATGGCAGGCACTCAATAATTAGTAACTCACACGATCATCTCTCTAGAGACTTCTAGCAGCTTGGAGGAAGTTCCACTTTCTATATCAAGTCCGTTTTATTGCAGTGATTTTTCCACAGTTATTAGTTAGGTGCCTGCTGTATACCAAGATTATTTTTCTACTAACCCCTATTTGTTCACAACTGTGAACTGCAACCCCCACACCCCACCTCTTGTGCTCTATTTAGCTGCCCTTGGAGGTTCTCTTGGCTCCTGAGCCTGGCAATGCAAAACATTCTGGGAAGATAAGAGGCTTAATTAATGCAGCCAGCTGCAGGTCTCCCAGGCCTTAGCTGCTCCCCTGGGGGACTCTTAATGCCACCAGTCAGAATAGAATATAAGGGAGGCCTGGATGGAAGGATGAAGAGCACTTAACACCAGAAAATGTCTGATGGACATCAGACACCTGCCATGTGGTCCACTGTTGCTATGGTTACTGGAATGCTAGCAGCCAGTGGTCCCCAGCCTAGGAAGAACAGCCCACCTCTCATCTCTTTCATATGCAATGAACCTACTACAGAGCCAGGAGTGGAGCCCTAAGCAGCTGAACCCCAGAGGTTGTCAGGATACAGGGGTGCCTTTACTATCCAACCAGTCAGCCTCACACATCCCATCAAAGGGGTAACTTATGCTTCCTATGACTGATACCTAGGAAGTGGCCTTTAATGAAAAGGCCTGGTTGGGTTTCTTTGACAAATGAAATCATGTGGTCTGATAAAAGCGGTTGACAGAGTCAGCCTGGACGAATGGATGAGACAGTTTGAAGAAAGGCCGGTGGATAATTGGGCATGTTTGGGCTGCCAGGCTGCCAAGGTCAGACAAGGGCAAGATTCTGAGGGAGCATCTCGAGCAGAAGGAGGCTTTCTAAGGAGGCTATCCCCCAGCCTCTGGATGAAATATCATCATTGTTATTTTGATGGCTGCTTGGATGTCTAAATAGTGGGAGGAATCACGCTTAGTCTCTAAGATCCTGAAATACTTTCATTCTGATAAAAAAATTTCAAATACAGTCACATTGCTGCTCACCATGGAGTATCTTCTGAGAATTCTTCAGGCCACAATCCCATCATAGAATGCACACACTTACACAAAACCAGAGCATACAGGTCAGCTGAACCCTATGGTTCCTGTATGCAATTAAGGGACACCATAACCACGGACCGCGAGGATGCAACCAGCATAATGCAAATATTCTTTCACTATAATAATTTTTAAGAAGTGCATCAGAAAATACCAGAGTAAGTGCAGTAAGTACATAAACAGTAACAGTGGTTTCTGGTCATGGCCAAGCATTGTGCTCTGTATGCAACTGTATGCACTGTGCTTTTCTATAACTGGCTATGTAGCATGACTGTTCTCACAAGCGTGGGCATAGACAAGTGGGAAATTCCTCACAGCAATACCAGGTCAGCCCATTGTCATCTCATGGGCCCAACACAGAATGTGCTGCCTGTCATTGACCACAGCATGCCTGTGATAAAACATACATCAGTGTAGAGAGCCAAATATGAGTGACCAAGGCCCAGGAACATGGATTCAGGTTGCCCTCAAAATGCAGTAACTATTTCATGATTTCTTTTTATGCTAACAGAAGAAAATAAAGTCACAAGTCAAGACACTTTGAGAACCTTGGTGGTAGCAGCAGCTTTGTGGGTTTTAGCAAAGCAGGCGCGTTGGTTTGGGTGGAAATGTCCTCCAGGGACTCAAGTATCAGAACACTTAGTCCCCAGATGGCGGTACCTTATTGGAGGAAGTGTGTCACTGTGCTGGCTTTGCCCTACTTCCTGTTCTGATCCCTTTGCTTCCTGTGAGCAGATGAAATGTGACGGTCCAGCTTCCTTCCTTTGCAACCATGCCAGTCCACACTATGTCTTCCCTTGCATATGGACTCTAACCCTCTGAAACCATATGCTAGAACAGAGCTTTCCTCCAGTTCTTTTGATCATGGCAGAGAACTTTTTGGAATGGACCTCAGATACTATCTGAAGGTGTGCTTGCTTTTGGGTTGTTAGCAGAAGCAAGTGGTTTGTTAGTCTGTCCCAAAGGATTTTTGCCATATAGTCACCAGGATGCCAGATCAGGCAAAGTAATGCGCAGCAAATATGACTGATAAAAAAGATGAAGATAGCTCAAGATAATTGTCTCTGGGCCAGCAACGTCCCAGGTCTCAACAGCCACAGTTCTAGTCAGGCAATCTGCTTTGCAGATGCTGTAATGCTGGTTTGATGGTTTCCTTTGGTTTGTATTTTGTTTCTGTTTTCTGGGAACTTCAGTTCACAGCGCCCCAGCTGACCAAGTGTCTTGTCTTTTGTATAGAGGCCAAACACCTTTTTTTTTTTTTTGTCTTGTGTCACTAGAAAGTAAAGATGAAGCTGGAGTGACAGAGAGAGAGAGAGAGAGAGAGAGAGAGAGAGAGAGAGAGAGGTCATTAAAGAAATCCCTAGACCACATCAAATTTTAACAGCTATTATGACTCAGATCTAGTCTTTCCTTCCCCTCTCCTCCCTTCCCCTCCCCTCCTGACTGACATAATATTTACAAGTGACTATACTCATAATAGGAGTATTATACATACAGACAAAACAATCAAGAACACAGTATGAGCTAAGAATATAAAGGCAGAAGATGAGGGAAATTTTAGCCAACTAAAAACCATCTTTTACAATACATAGTTCATGTTTTTCTGTGTCTACAGCTCCTTGTACTTTATAAAAAATTATTTAATGTTTAGATTATTCAAAATAATTTTTATCTTTTAATTTTAGTTTTTCTAAAATTTAAAGTTTGATGGTAGAGATAGCTTTATGAGAAGTGCTTAGTTTTGGAATGATTATTCTCCAATGTGTAAGTTACTGTAACTCCTATTTCTGACTACAATTTCATTTGTACTATTGTTTTGGTATTACATCAGATTTCAGTTTGGGAAAGTAAATAGAAACTCACATTAGAGAAGAATTCAGATGACTGACATAACGTCACTTACGATTTCTTTTTAGCAAAATAATTTTTAACTTTTATATTTCCTTTTCTCGCTTGAAGGCTCATTCCTTCACATTTCTTTTCCTTATAAATTTTAGGAAATGTTTCATTCCTAAAAATAATTATAGTTACAGTGAAACCCAAGAAAGCTGTGTCTAAAACACAGAAAACATGGACATTGCGCATTCACTGTCTAACAGTTATAAAACATGGCACATTTCTGTGTTGTCTTAGCACAGGTAACTCTTTTTATGATGGAGTCTTGGTATAATGGGCATTTAGG